TGAGGCATCTTGCGGCTATGAGTGACGGTGGGCGGGGCTATGAGTGACGGTGGGCGGGGCTATTAGCAGGCTGCAGGCTGAATAACGATTCCCAGCTGTCGGCTCTAGAGTTTGTCTGAGAACATGCAATGGAGCTGCGGTCAAGGACCAACACACACACGCACACACACAGACACACACACACACAAACACACACACACACAGATAAACCAGAAGGATTTCTTCACACATAGCTCTGCTCAGGAATATGTGAGATCAGAAGAGTCAAACTCAGCCTGGCTCGCAAGTGTGTGTGTGTGTGTGTGTGTGTGTGTGTGTGGGGGTGTGTGTGTGTGTGTGTGTGTGTGTATCTCACCGTTCTCTGGCTGTTCCTTGATGTCTGATTCGCTGGCGTGGTTGGGGCTTTCTGATTGGCTGGTTTCTGGAGAGAAAACAGAAAAACTACGTTGAGGAAGGAGAGCTGGAAAACACACTCAGTGAGAGGCACGGTGAGTTCACTGACAGCTGGGATCTTAGAGATCTCTGACTCTTGAAAGCAGCAGCAGAACCTGGTCTGGTCCACTGAGGAAGACGGACCTGAACCAAAACCAGAACCAGAACCACAAGTGTCCCCTGTAAGATAAATCAGTTAGGGTTAGGTTTGTCCTCCAGTTTTTCTTTTCCTCCTGAGATGATTTAAGGGCTTCAGGTCCATCGATCAGCTGCAGCAGAACCTGGGAGGGGCGGGAGGGAGGGTCTCCTCAGGGGGAATCAGCTGACTGAAACTTTTCCTCTTTCCTTCCCATTTGATCCCAGTTGTTCCTGAACTCATCATGTAATTCTAGCTGCCTGCCACCAGGCTGTGCTGTGCTTTGACTAGACCCCCCCACCCCCCAGGGGGACAGGGGGCAGCATTCATCAGGCCTGTTAGCATGCGGCTCACCATGTCATCCTGCTTCAGCTGCTTAAAACAAAGAGCATCAGCCTGAAACCATGGCAACTGGAGGGAGGGGGAGGGGGCTCTACCCCTAGCACCCACCCCCATCTGCCCCCATTCATCAGTTAGCAGGTTAATTAAATATGCTAATGAAGCGTGGGAGCAGACAGCCTGCCTACAGGGGCTGGACCATTTGCAGAACCAGAATCAGAACTTGGAACGGGATCCAAAACCAGAACCAGAACAGGACCAGGACCGGATCTTTGGCTGTCCGGATCGGTTAGAACATGTGGCATGTAGCATCATCCCTGTCCTGTGTTCCCAGCAGTATTCCTGACTTTCTCTGTAGTTCTTGTCGTTGCAGCAGAACTTGTTCTGACTCACTCATTCTGGGAAATCTGCTACCTGGGTCAGAAGTAGATATGCAGAACCCAAACAATGCTGGTTTGGATGAAAAGTCTCCATGTGGAAACATTCGATCTCTGCAGTTACGGATCCACAGACGATCCAGAACTGCCGGATCCAGGAGGAATTTCTCACTGGTTCTGCTGTGTGGGTTTGGGTCACTTGGTTCCATTCAGGAATAGAACCTGAGGCCAGAACAGGCAGCGGGAATACCGAGCTTCAGAACCAGAGGGAGCTGAGTCAGACCAGTTGTGAACGGAGAGGGAGGATGATCATCTTGTTTTAATATTCTGTTCTGTTTTTCCTCCAAAACCAAAACCAAAGGAGCTCCAGTAGACCCGGTTCGTCTCCAGCAGAACCAGCTGCTGGTTCTACGGATGTTCGTCATTTACTGGGTTCTGCTGACGATCCAGCAGGGTCCACACTTGGGCTCTGATCATTTGGGTCAGCCTCAGCTGCTGATCTGGACTCCTCTGGTTTTCTGCAGGATCTGAACTCGTATATCTATGTGAAGAAGGAAAAATTAGATCAGTGTTAGTTTCGATCTGACAAACGCTCTGAAACTGACGACTCTCACTGAATCTATCAGAGCGTTGTAAGATTGAAACAAAACAAGTCTAATTATTGTCCCTTCACATAGATATACACGCTCAAATCTGTCTTGCTGCTCTCAACTTGCCGTGTAGGTTTCACCTCTAAATTACACGAACACGGTTCTGGACCCAGTCTGGTGTGCATACACAGTGAACCCGCACCTGCAGGGTTCTGATGGCAGCGCAGCAGAACCACGGCTCGCCTCCATCTCTACACCAGCAGCAGCCATCTTGCCCCCCAAGGGGGCGTGGCCTATTTGGGTTTCAGTCTCTTCATGTTTGAACAGAATTGAGAGAAACAGACGTTTGCTGGACGAAGAAACGTCCAACGCTGCCAAGGAGACGCTGCCAACTGGAACACACACACCAACACACACATCGTCAGAGACGTCTTCATGTTTTCCGTCTCAGACACACTTTAACGTTTTCTGTCACAGTAACACCCTGCTCCACCTCGCTGATGGAGTGTGTATGCTCTGTGTGTGTGTGTGTCTGGCAGCCATCTTAAAGCTTTGGCAACCATTTTGGAGCTTCTGTCTGTTTGCTTTGAGTTGCTGCCACTCGCTACTGTCTGCCAGAACAAAAGAGCTTCTGCCGTTAACAGCCAGTCTCACACACACACACACACACACAAGCAGACATATACACACGCTGTGTGTTCACCAACAAGCTCTCCAAACCTTCTAGCCCAGTTAAAGTTCTACGGCTTCTCTACTGATGTGAACTAAAACCAGTGACTGTGATTGACCTCTGACCTTTGCTTCACTGGATTGGGACCACTGACACAAATGCCCAGTTTTGTAGAATCCAGAAGTGGCAGCCATACTTTTAGTTTTTATCATGTACCGTATTTTCCGCTCTAAGGCGCACCTAAAAACCTTCAATTTCCTCAAAAGCCGACAGTGCGCCTTATATATGGACCAATATTGAGCCACAACAGGTCTAGCAACGCCCGTAGAAGAAGAAGCGCGGTGCATGCTGGGATAGTTGTCAGAACGCTGGCTTGTTATAAAGTCTGACTGACCCATCTACCTACCGACCGTCTATAATCAGGTCGTCTGCAGGTCGTTTAGCACCAGGTTCTCCACCAACATGCTGTGGGCGAACGGAGAAGGGTGACCATCGTCTGGCCCCGGCCCCAGAAGGCTCTCCTCGCCGACCGGAGTTGGACTGTTTTGTTGACATTTCCTTTAGTGCAGCTCCATCTAGTGGATGCATAACGTAACTCCAGCCTCTACTGTAGCGTCTAGTCTATGCGCCATATAATGCAGTGTGCCTTATAGTGCGGAAAATATGGTAAATAAAAAGTGGACTGTCTCAGAACCACAACAGTTCTGGTTCTGAAGTGGCTTTAAGGTGGAGCCGCTCCAGAACCAGAACTAGGTTCAGATCCATCAGAACCAGAATCAGACTCAGGAACACCAGAGGAATGGTTCCTGGAGGTTTCAGTTTAACTGGACCTGGTTCTGAAATGATGAGACTCACTGTCTTGGTTCTTCAAACCTTCAGAATCAGAAGAGGAGGAAGAGGGTTCTACCCAAAACCCAGAGCGGTCCACATAGTTCGGTTCTGGTTCTGCTGGACCTTTGACTTCTAGTTACAAACAAAAAGACCAGACCCAGAAGATAAAGAACCATCGTTCTGCCTCAAACTCCCACAATGCCTTGCTTCACCTCCTCCGTCCAGCAGGAGCAGCAATGAGCTGCTCAGTTGCTGACAACTCAATGAGAAAAAAATGGCTTCCTGATCTCTTCCTGTCCTTTACTTCCTTTCTTTCTCCCAGTTTGTTGCTCCAGTCCTTCTTCCCTCTGTTGTTCAGCTCATCCTCTTCCTCACCTGCAGGCTGATCGATACTTATCAGTTATTGATCACTGATAGATGCTGAGTGTTCACAGCAGAGCACCAGCCAATCAGATCTCAAGGACGGATGAGACCTGCTCTGATTGGCTCTGGTGTTACAGACTTTCTTCTCTTTTTCCTCTCCGTCCCGACAGAACCAGAACCGGATGTCTGCGTCAGATAATACACACATACACACACACACACACACACACACACAGTGGTGCTTTACCTACAGCCCTTCCACTATAGTCTGCTGCCAACTCTGATCCTATTAATCACAATGTGTGTGTGTGTGTGTGTGTGTGTGTGTGTGTGTGTGTGTGTGTGTGTGTAGTCCAGATGGATTGTGGTTCCCTCCAAAACAAGGAACAATCTTCAAAAGAGGTGCTCTTATTTTGAAGGGTCAGGACTTCTAACCTGGAACGGGCTTCTAAGCCCTCAGGACCATGCTGCCGCCACCAGGAGGGCGTGTAAACAGATCCCTGAGGACAAAGCAGTTCATGGACAGAACCAGAACAGAACCCGGGTCCAGATCCAGCAGCTCACCACCACTGAATGCAGTTGGCATGTTGGCATGGTCAAAGGTCAAAGGTTCCGGTACAGGTTTCTGTCGTTCCTGAACGCCTCGCTGCCCAGCTGGCATCACTGAGGCATGCTGGGAAAGAAGGGATGAAGAGGAGGATGAAGAATGCGACCTTCAGCGTCTGTGTGGAAGGCGTGGAGAAGGAAAGGTCAAAGGTCAAAGTGGGGGCAGAGATGAAGCTGGAGGATGAAGGAAAAAGAGTGATGAAGATGAGGAAGAGGAGGGTGAATCCCGTTCCCCCAGCAGAAAATCAAAGCGAGGAAGAGGAGCGCACGCACACACCGAGCCCAGCTCATCCCAGTACAGACTCCCAGTCTCCCATCAAGGCTTCTAGCTGAGCAGAGAGGATCATGGGAGATCCTGGACAGGACAGAACCGGTCAGAACCGGTCAGAACTGGTCAGTATTCAGCAGCAATTCAGAGTCGGACAGTCAGTGAATGCACCGTGTACCTGGACTCATCATCATCATCATCGTCATCATCAATCTGATGAATCTGGAAAATGTCCAGCAGATTTTCTTCAGAACATCCAGAACCAGAACCCAATTATCTGGACTTGTCTTGCTGCAGGTTCAGTTCCTCCAGTGTCCAGCTGATGGCGCTGCTGTTGTTGTTATGGAAACAGCTGGTCAGGTGACCCGAAGCAGCTTAATCAGCTTCCTGTTTTTAGCAGCAGCCGGTCCGATTGGGTCAGGAAGCAGAACCGGTAATCAGGTTAGAGGATTGGCTGCTAAGCAGGTCACCTGTAGGTTAGCTCCGCCCCTCCTCAGGTGGGACCTGAGCCCAACCCTAGCCCCTCTGACCTCTGGCTGACCTGTGACCTCCGAACGGTGGTGAAGAGTTGATGCTGCGGGATGTGCAGCAAGGGTCCCAAATGGCCTAGTCAAAGTCTGAAACAGCATAGCAGAAGACACAAACAGGATGAACACGGAACCAGTTCCAGAAAGTCAGCCAATGCAGACTGGACCCGCCCAGCCCGGTCCGGTCCAATCAGGTCGCAGCTCGTCAGCCGGCCATGGCAGCTGACTTCCTGTCTGCAGCGCATTATTGATCGGTCAGAGTGAGACCTCTCAGCTCGCCGG